CTTTTTGTTGGTGTTTTTGATTTTCTTTAGTTCTTTTAAGTAAATTATCTTTGAAGATCAACCAATGATTGAACTGGATTTGTTCTTTGTGTGTTTTGAATATTTTTAACATTAGTAGTATGAGAGGATTTATTGATAATAGGACTAGAAATTCTCTTTTTGGATGAACTTTCATTAGGGATGATTTGTAATGAGTTATTGATTGATTTAGGAGTGAAAGTAGTGGTAAGAGATGGACGAGTATTAAGATTTTGTTGAATAGACTTCGTTTTTGTTTGTTTAAAGTCTCTAATGATTTGATACATCTCATTGATTTTGTCTAAGATACATTTAAGATTAATAGCATGTTGTTTATTCCATTGAACTTGTTCTTCTTGCATCTCAAAGATTTTTTCATTCTGAAACTTAATTCCATCAAGTAATTGGATGATTTCATGTGGTATTTCTTTTTGCATTAATATTCATTTTGATTTCAAGATTAAAAAATCTTCTTTTCAACTTTTTTTATCGGAAAGTTCAAGAAAATGAAAGTTAATTTCAACTCACAAGAACTAAATTATTATTATGTTCATCTCACAACCTACAAGGTCAACTTGCATTGGAATTGACTTAGGAACAACAAATTCATGTATGTGTGTTTTTGATAAAACAACACCTCGAATTCTTGAGAATGCAGAAGGAAAACGAACAACACCATCTTGTGTTTCTTTTACACCAACAGGAATATTAGTTGGAGAAGCAGCAAAACGAATGGAAGCATTACATCCAACAACTACTATCAGTGGAATTAAGAGAATGATAGGATGTCAATACAAAAATGATAAACAAGAAAGAAGACCTTATAAAATTGTTAAAGGAAGGAATGGAGAAGGATGGATTCACATTAATGGGAAGACATATTCTCCAACAGAAATTTCATCAATGATTCTTAAGAAATTAAAAAAAGATGCAGAAGCTAAACTAGGGAAAAGAGTAGATGAAGCAGTTATCACATGTCCAGCATATTTTAATGATGCACAAAGACAAGCTACTAAAGATGCAGGAACACTTGCAGGATTAAAAGTTAAAAGAATTATTAATGAACCAACAGCAGCAGCATTAGCATATGGAATAGATACAAGAAAAGAAAATGAAGGAAAGAATATTGCAGTTTATGATCTTGGAGGAGGAACATTTGATATTTGTATTCTTAATATTAATAAAGGAATTTTCCAAGTTAAAGCAACTAATGGAGATACAATGCTTGGAGGAGAAGATTTTGATAAAGCTATTTGTCAATACATTGAGAAAGAATTTGAAAGAAAATATAAACGAAATCTTCAAGGAAATAAAAAAGGAATTAGTAGAATTAAAGAAGTAGCAGAGAAAGTAAAATGTGAATTATCATCAAGTGAAGAAAGTATAATTTCATTACCATATCTTGATGGACAAGATTCACTTGAAATTACAATTAATAGAAGAAAAATTGAAGAATTATGTAAAAAAATTTGTAAAAGAACAGAATATCCTTGTATTCAATGTATGAAAGATGCAAAATTAAGAAAAAAAGATATTAGTGATGTTGTACTTGTTGGAGGAATGACAAGGATGCCTTTAATTCAAAATACTGTTCATGAAATATTTGGAAAAAAACCATGTAAAAATATCAATCCTGATGAAGCTGTTGCCATTGGAGCAGCAATTCAAGCAAGTATTATTGAAGGAAAGAAAAATGACATTATTCTTGTTGATGTTACACCATTAACTTTAGGAATTGAAACTTATGGTGGAGTGATGACACCATTAATCCATAGGAATACAACAATCCCTACATCAGTTTCAAAAGATTTCACTACATCAATGGATAATCAACAAGAAGTAGATATTAAAGTATTTCAAGGAGAACGTAGAGTTACATCAAAAAATAAAAAGTTAGGAGAATTTAAATTGGTTGGAATTCCTCCAGCAAAGAAAGGTATACCAAAAATCCAAGTTACATTTGATATTGATGTTAATGGAATAGTAAAAGTTTCTGCTCTTGATAAAGGAACAGGAAAGAAAACAGGAAATCAAGTTAAATCGAATGGTGGTTTGAATGAAGATGAAATTAATCGACTAGTTAAGGAAGGAGAAGAACATGCTACTGAAGATAAGAGAAAAGAAAATTTAATTCTTCTAACCCAACGATTAAAAGAAATGATAGATAATGCACATAATCTTCAAAAAGAGTTATTAAAGAAAAAAATTGAAACAACTCAATTAGAAAAACTTATTATTCAATCTAAAAAAACTCTTACATCAGAAGATGAAAATGAAATTAAAAAAGTTATTGATCAATTAGGAGAAGAATCATCAAGTTATTCAGCTAAATTATATAATTAATTAACTTCTATCATTTTATTCTGATTTATTTTAATTATTATTAATCAATTCTTATTTTCATATCATTTAACTTCTTAATATGATTAATATTTATCTTTTTTACATAAAATACATAAATTGTGTATTCATTATATTTCATTCTTGAATGATATTATTTCCATTTATTTTATTCTTTGTTTTATTTCATTTTCTATTCTTTCATCTATTTCAATTCATTTATTTAATAATTTCATATATTGTTAAATTCTTCTATTCTACTTGTTTTGTTTATTTCATTGTTGATATACATAACTATTATTTTATCTTCTACTCTTTAATTCTGTTTGTTCTGGTATGTCTTTCTCTTTAACTATTTGTTCATATGTTCTAGTTGTTGTCCTTATTGTATTTATACAATTTTATAGTTTATTTTCATTCAGAATCAGTACTCAAAGATGTTGAGTTTATTTCTATTTATTCATTCAACTATTTGTATTATTGAATATTACTATTGAACAAACAGATTGTTTAGTTATTGTTTGATTCTAACCTTTATCCATTCAAATTCGGTTTTCATTTATTGTTTCAATATAACATTCAATATTTATTATAAAAATAAACAATAAGAATCACAGATACTGATGTATTGTGATAAATATAATGATAACATGAATGCTTTCTGTAAATTGTTATAGCATAGTACACAGTTGTGTTGTCATTGGTAAAAGATGTTGTGGTGAGTGTGATGATATGTTTTTATAAAGTTGTTGAAAAATAAAATATTGAGTTAAAGGACTAAGATGGTACTATTCTTTTGTTATGAATATGGCTTCTTTAAATTATAATAACTAATTAGAAATCTTTAATAAACAAACATTCATATTCTATTATGTTGTAAAACATAACATTTTGTTATCTAATAATCTTTAACGAAATTGAATATTAATCGGTATATCACAATGTATTTGAAATAGTTGTTATTAAATAGAAATAAGAAAGGGATGTTTAATAATAAATGTGGAAAACAAAACAGATAAAATGATAACAAAAATGAATATAAAGAGAGAATACCGAAAAGAATGATAAGTATGAAGCGTTAAGAAAATAAATAATAAACTAAGGTTTAATAGTTTTAATCAATTGTTCAGATGAGAATTTCTTCAAATCATTCAAGAAGAGTATATTTCTTTTGGTTCTTCTATATGTCTATAATCTCTTGAATGATCATTTCAATATCTCATAAGATCTTTCATATTTGATATTATAATTTATCTATTATTTCTTATTTTCCATGCAATTTTAATTCTTTCGCTTCTTAATAATCTAGCTGTTTCTTTATTTATCAACTAACCACTGTTATTAAGACTAGAATAATTATTACTCTTATTAATCTTTCTATTTTTTTAATGTTCTTGTAATTTCATATACATATTTATTTTATTTATAAATACCTTACTCATATTCTTATCTCTTACTATTGTCATATCTGTGATTAGTGATTCTCTTTTCTTTAAATCTCTTAAATAAATATCGTGTCTTTTATGAAATTTCATTTTTATTTATTATTTTTTAATTCAAAACCATAAGTATTTTATTTCTTTTCTTCTTTTTTCTAAATTCTTCTTTTCTTATAATTAATTTCTTTGTATTTTCTTCTTCTCTTTTTATTTTTTCATCTGTACATATTTCTTATTTAATCTTTAAAGCAACCCATATATTCATTTTATCATGTTTATTCATCTGTGATTTTTTAGTGATACACAATTGAGAATGAATGATCTATTGTTGCTATTTTATTACAAATATTATCCATTGTAATTTTGGTTCATTTGTCCACCTTACTATCCTTATTCAGTTATTTGTTGTTTTTTTCTTGCTTTTTCTTTATTTGAATTATATTCATTATAGTATTAATTTTTTCAATACTTTGATTGTTTTCTTTTGGTCTCATTTTATTTCAAATCATTTTAAAATTTCATTACTTTCTTATTTCTCCATTTATGGAGAAACATGACCATATTGGCATTATCATATGGGAGGGGTTAATAAGAAAATACACAGGAAATAAACAATACAAGAAACCCCCATATGAAACAGTGTTCCAATACAATGACATCACTATGATATGGAACAAACAAATAATGCCAAAAAGTGATGGACCATATCATAAAAGACCAGATATATATGTACTAGATAAAAAGAATAAAACTGGTCTAATATTTGATATGACTATTGTGGCAGATCACAATATTAATGGAGCCTATTGGAAGAAAAGAAATATGTATAAGGAATTAAAAAATAGGCTAATGAAAATAGAGAAATTAAAGGATGTCAAAATAATTCCAGTAGTAATTTCGATTAATGGGCTAGTAAATGCGGAAAGTATTAAAATAATTAAAGAATTAAAAATCGAAATTGATATCATTAAAGAAATCAAAAACCTTGTAATTAAAAACATGATGGACGTCATGGAACACTGTTTCGACCACAACCAAACATATGATCTTGAACTACAAGACGAAGACTCAGGGATGGGATTAGTCTCCGGTGAAGCAGGAGCAATAGACACAAGTTCTATTAATACTTAATTAACTACTTTATTATTTCTTATTTCTCCATTTATTGATATATTCTTCTTGAAATTTATTTTTTATATATTTATTATTTTCTTTTTATCTTTCTTTTTTTCTTCTTCTTTCATTCAGGAACCAAAATAAGCAAAGAAATAATAGTTGAAAGGTTCAATGAAAAAATCAACAAAAAATTCACAAATAAACTATTCTTTTATTCCAATTATAAAACAAATGATGTTTATTGAAATTGGCTTGACAAAAATAGTTATTTAATATAAAAAGAACTTCAATTTTTATTTAATATAAGTTAGAAGGAATGATTAAAAGTACAAAACCCCAAAAAGAAAACAATCTACATGCTCTAATGAAAATACAGTCGACAAATAAAAGAAGAAAGTATATCTTATCTGGGTGTTATTATCTGATAACTAAAGGATGGTCATTTCTTTTTTCAAAAGAGAAAAGAATAGCAGGAAAGTTAGACCATTTCTTCCCGATTCAAAAAATATGGAATCAAAATGGGGTAATAATGTTTGATGAAA